ATATAGGTTCAACAAATAAACATATAAATTCACACTAAAAGACAAATTCAATAAAAGAATTTCGAGTTGAGAGAAAACAAAACAAACACAATCAAACATAGATATAGTCATGAAACTCAGCCTTTTCTTTAGAATCAAGCGTGGTTCGTACCTGAAAAACAAACAATAATGTAAAAAGATCACTGCACTACGTGTCAACAATACATTTCCATGGGGGTTAGAGCACATTTTTGTGTGTGTGTCCCAAAATTTGAAAAATTGGCCGATCGATATTTCGTTTCGTTTGGGGGGGGGGGGGCGGAGGTCAGCTTTTTGGGGTCACCTATTACCACAATTTAAAAAAAATTATTATTATTATTTTGTAATTAAAAAACAAACAAAGGGGGGGGGGGATCCTCCGAAACACACACATAAAAGAAGTAAAAGGGGGGGGGGTTCAACCCCCCCTCTGGTTGGGTGTGATGGTCTAAATATTTATTTGCGAACGAGCGACCAAAAGGTTAAATATTTGTGAGGACGCATTACGAAAAATTACAGCTTATGAAAAGGAAAACACAATCCTTTTCATGAAAGCCTGAACAGATCTTCAATAAAAAAATATATCAACCTAAATTGCGAGCGAGCTTTGGGTGAAATTGAAGAAACAGTTTTTTTCAGGGGTTTTTAGGCATTTACTTTCGGTCACATGACCATATTTTGAAACCTTATTTGTGACACTGGCAGATCACTATATTTTTGTTTAATGACGTAAATCATGGTCTGAAGCAATATTTTAATTAATTGAGACGATTGCTAAAGATTAGAAATTTGACGTTGACCCTGTATTTTTATGAGTACATTATATGTGAAAAATAAGTTTCTGTTTAAAATATTATACAACCGAGTACCATATCATCTCTCCTCTCACCTATTTCCAAAGTTTGTGGCAACTTTGTTTTGTAGAGCAATTAAAACTAACAGCTAAATGAACAACCAGATGAAGAAAAGAGCAGAGCTATAATTAAAAGTAACGTAGGCCATGATTAGCTATCATTTACTCATTTGAAACAAATTACGTACCTTCAGGAATCTGGCCCCTTGAATGTACCAATGTCAATATGAATTGAACAGGAATGCTGGCAGTTGAATTTTGGATTAAATTTATACTATTCTGAACTGGCGAGCCGGAAGCAGTTTGGGATTGGGGGTGTGGGGGGGGGGGGGCATTCCAGGGGGCTCACCTTCCAGGGGCAGTGGCGTAATGAGAAAAAATGTTTGGAGTCAGAAGTAAAATCTGCATCACCACCACTCTTACATGTTACTTGCAGGCCCTGCGGAACGTTTTTCAAAGTGGAGTGTTTCACAATCAGGTAGAGCGAAGCGAGTGGAAGAAGGTCAAAGATGTGGATGGTCGTTTTATTTTATTAAAAGGTGTACTTTGGGATATTAGGCTCTTAATAGGAAACTGTGTTCTTCTCAACAAGGGGAAATGTTCAGCAACAAAAAATTATCTTGGAAAAAATAGACTCTTGCATTATATTATTTGAATTAGTCGATCATTCTAGGAGGAGACTTTAATGTTATATTTGATGAAAATTGAATTCATGGGAGAGTAGTTAGTTCAACCTTTGTAAATAATTAAGAGATGTTTGAAGGAAATTAGAGTTGACGTATGGAGGAAAAATAATCCGGATTTAAAGCATACACGTTTAGGCAAAAGACACCCATGGTTCAAAGTCGGTTAGACTATTGGTTTATTTCAAATCAATTGGAACAAGCTGTATCTATTTTGCGAAATAATGCCGTTTATCACTCCTGATCATGCTGGAATCATTCTGGGAGTTCAGTTTGTAAAGAAGAAGTTTATGCAAGGAAGGTCATATTGGAAATTTAATAATAGTCTTTGTTCAGAAGGTATGGTAAATGAAATCAATTTGATTAAAAGAGATTGGGAAAATACATTTGACAAGAAACTGTTATTTTGGGATTATTTGAAAATGAAAATGAGGGCATACGCAATTAAATTTTCGAAGGGATGGGCAAAAGAACAGAAACAGAATATTCAAAGGCTAGAAAATGAAGTAAAAAAGCTGGAAAGTTAATTAGTTAGGTTTTCATTGAATTTGGAAGAAACGGAGGAAAAGAAAAACAATGACAGAAATTGCATGAGGAATCTATAGAAGGTTTAAAGATTAGGTCACAAGCTGCGTGGTATACGAGAAAGGGGGGGAAACAAGGAGTGTTTCGAGCAACTGCTAAAGACAAATAAGAAGAAAACCGTAGTAAGGGAGTTGTATGATGAGAATGAAAGTGTTTAATATGATAGCAACATAATTTGGGCGATGATTAGAAACTTTTATACAAATCTTTATGAAGAAAAGTTAAGTGTTTTTGATGAGGACACGGAAACTTTGTTTTTCAAATATGTTAAAAAATTAAGTGAAAATGGAAGGAATGCATGTGAAAAAAAATAACAAAAGATGAGTGCTCAAAGGTATTGAAGGCTCTAAAATTAAACAAGTCTCCTGGCAATGATGGCCTTACAGTTGAATTTTATATTACGTTATGGTTAAGTATCGGAAATATTTTGGTACATGCTTTAAATAAAGGTTATGTCATGGGGAGTTTATCCATATCATTTTTATCACTATTACTTTGAATGAGAAGGAAGGGAAAGACCCTCCATACATAACAAATTATAGGCCGATTACATTATTAAATGTTGTTTACAACATTTTGTCAAAGGTGTTAGCTACAAGAATTAACTACGGCTAGATGAGCATGATTTTGATACCTCATTTATGACACTGACAGGTCACTATTCTTTCTTTATTTCTTTCTTTCAGTATTTCTCTTTAAAGGTACTATGTCCCATTTGCAGGCCAAAAAAATGAAAAAATTAAATTCCAACTGCATTTGAAAGATAATACTAATTTAGAACTTCCCTAAAAAAGGTGGGGCTTGAAAATGTCTTTAAGTGGGAAAATAATGACTATTAGTTGTCAAATCGACTTTAGGGCTATAGAGCCCAAAAGTAATAGTCTTGATTTTCAGATGATTGTACCGAATGGTCATACGTTTTATGCTGCGCACAGATTCAATCAGTTTAATCTTGGCCATCACAAGAAGTGGGTTATTGATGTAGACAAATGCTCATGTACCCTTTACAACTCTTTTCATGTATGTTATTACCAAAGAAGAAAAAAAGCTAGTCAGTCACTCAATAGTGTCTGACAGTGAAGTCTAGCAAGTAAAAGGGTTTCCTTGCATAATTTGAATATGAGGACACTGCTAACATTTAAATTTCACAGATAGGACATACATGACATGTTCATCATTCCTGCAAAGTTCTACAGCATTTGAGGTTGGCTGCAAAAGGGACATAGTACCTTTAACGTACTTTTTCAAAAAAGTGAGGGGGAACTCGAGCCCCGCTGTTCCGCGGGCCCCGATATTTAGGCTCCTAAATGAGCAAACTTTCAGCCTGATTGTGAATTTGTCATTTTCCAACAAACGTATAAAAAGTATATTTTACAAAAAAGTGAGAAAAAAGTGAGAAACAATCATGTCATTTCAGCAACATTTGTAAATCACCAGTATTGAATTAAAAATAAACCTCGTTTGAATTTTATTTGGGGGGGGGGCAACTGCCCCCGCCAACCCCCCCCCCCCCCCCCCACCCCATCAGTACGCCAGTGTGCATTGTGTATTATTTCGTGACCTATAATACATTGATCTTGCATAAGGTATAGACATACACTCTATTTCCATTGTGCTCTAAATAATGCAAATGAAACATTTAAGGGATCAATATATTAGGCCTGTGGACGATTAATTAAACAAATTATAGACCATTATGAGTAAAAAAAAAAAAAAATCATTGTTATTTTCCCAGCTCTGTTTGGCAGTTTACTCGTGGCTTTTTTTTTGCACAGTCTAGGTTAATTAACTATTTGACCACTACACGCAAACTGGATCTCCGAATGAGGATTGCGGTTCTCACATAATTCCCAGCTGCTGTCAGATTGATACTGCACCCACTGGCTACTCCTAACCAGGTTTTAATGTGCTGCATATTCTATGTAGCATTCCTCATAAAGTCCATGCAAATTAATATTCATATGGTCACATACAAGTATAAATCAACATCACAAGGTATCTTGAATATTCAAACATAAACAAAAGGTACATAATTATTGACTATTCAGTTATGTAAATTATACTTAAAGCTTGACTGCATCTGGTCATGCAGAAACCAATCAGGGAGAGAGATAGATAGATGAAAGGATGGTGGATGAAAAAGGTGAATGTGAATGAAGGATGACCTATTAGCATGAAGGGATGAATCCTAGATATGAAGGAGAGTTTAAGAAGTTCACAATAAATCCCTACAAATGGAATAAATTTATGAAGAGTTTCTCGTTACTCTTTCATCGGGTAGCAATTACGATTTCTCTGGCTCTAGCTACCATTTTCTGACGCCCGTGGTAGACATGTTTTTCTCTCTGTTTGCTCAAGCGCTCAAAAAGAATCCACTGAAGTTCGCTCTTCATCTCATCTCGTGATTGTACCGGTACGTACATGTAGGCTACCCCGGAGGCGTTATTTTTTTATGCGGCACAGATTGGGGCTTTTTTTTAAAAGGGGTCTTGATTTACAGACTAATACTGGTCGTGTGCGTACTAGACAGTATAAGTAGTAGAGGTCTGTTTTTAATAGTGTTACATTTAATCCACTACCGCATGGAAAATTATTACATCAACAATTAAAATCAAATTGGAAATCTGAAGAGGAGGCAGCACGTCAATAAGGAGAACATCACAATAATTAGTCAATAAAACTTAACTAATAGTTCGCGATGGATATACAAACTTCTTCGCAGCGCTAATGCGCTAGCTATAAACATGACTAGTCTCACGTACGTGCAGACACTATTCAGAAGGGAAAGAACGTACTTCCCATAGGTTTAACACGCGCCATGCCCCAATCTGTGCCGCATAAAAAAATAACGCCCCCCGGAGACTATACCCCTGAAATTAATTAGCAACATCGACACCGCATCATACTTATCTCGTTAACGCGCACACACACAGACTGCATATCTACATTACAGTTATAGATCCCGGAAGCTAAGCCAACAAATCGTTGATTTCGTAACTCATGTGTGCATGCATGGTCATGTGTGATGACGCGACGTCAAGGTTGGTTCTATTCTCATGTTTTTAATACATCTTCTTGTCATTTACATGGAGACGTTGCCTTTGTAAAAGTAAGTGTTAACATTGAGTATTGTATGTTATTCGCAAAACAGTGCTATTTAATTCCACTGCCAGTTCTTATAGCTCTCTTGTACTTGTCAACACCTCGACCCTCGGGCCGTGAGTGGCGATAAGCATTTGTTGTGATTTGTTTGCGGGGAAGTGCCGGGGTGAGTGAGGAACCGTTCCTGTAGATGGGTACGGTATATCGGCATGGGCCTTCAAGTCATGATCCTGCATGTTGTACGCACAATATAGCTGTATAGCGTTGCTCTTTGGAGTCTTGGCCTCGTGTAAAAATGTGAATGCCATTTTGCATCCCTATCCATGTAGGTAGTGTCAGGTTAAATGTCAATGATATAATAATCATAATGTCATGTCATGTTGTTAGACTACATCATGATATCGTCTTGTTTTAAACTTGTTAAATAATTTGTATGTAGATTGGAAATGGGTGTACATGCATGTAGAATTGTAGATCTTTCACATGCACTTGCACTTACACATGTGCTAAGTACAACTGGCTTGGTACTTGGTTGGGTAATCCCTTTGACAGCTCACTAAGGAAGCTATACTGGGATGGTAGGTGAGGCGAGTGCGAGCTTATTTGTATTGAGTGTGTTTTTGATGCAATATTGATCAATGTATACATGTACATGTAGTAAGCCATTCTAAACCAAACACAGGCAATGCCAAATTTTTAAAAAGAAGTACTGAACATAGTTAGGAGAAGAAGAAGAAGAGGAGGAGGGGGAGGAGCAGGAGCAGGAGAAGCAGGAGGAGGAGGAGGAGAAGAAGAAGAAGAAGAAGAAGAAGAAGAAGAAGAAGAAGAGAAGAAGAAGAAGAAGAAGAAGAAGAAGAAGAGGAGGAGGAGGAGGAGGAGGAAAAATGAGGAGTATAATAAGAAGAAGACAAGCAGAGGAAGAAGAAGGAGTTCATGAAACATGTATTTCACAAAAGCCACAAGTGATCAATCTATTTATGAAACCCATTATGAGACATTTGACCTTTGTATCCTAATTTGTGCATGCAATGTGATCTTGGCCTTTCTGTTTTGGTACATGAATACAATGTATGTACATGTACGTGTATATATCACTCTGTCTCTGTGACTGTTGCCTAGAATACAAATTACAATTGTATCTGTTTGTCTGCCTCTCTCTACCATTCTCTTTCTCTGCATCTCGTCTGTCTGTCTCTGTCTCCTTCTCTCTCCCTTTCCTTTCTCCTCTCTCACTACAATACTCTTTTTCCATCTCGTATTGATTGTGTATATGACCTTGACCTCTAAGCTAATTAGCTGCTCATCGATAGTGACTTATTGATTGGGGAGCTGAGTCGGTGTGGCAGGTGTTCCGTCTCACTATAAACAAAGCCTATTGGTAATAATAAAAATGATAATAATAGGTTATACACTGTAGGTCCATTTTATATAGCGTAGCTACTAGATGATATACTCCATACTCTACTGTGCTGAATACAAAGTATCATATTGTTACCTCGGCTGTTGCTGAGACGCCATAGTGCACTTAAGCATTCGAGAAATTTTTTCCTACCGGGCACCCATTTACTTCGCCTGGGTGGAGAGTGGCAAATGTAGGTTAATGCCTTGCCAAAGGACATTTGTGCTGCGGCGGGACTCAAACTGCTTACCATGTGATCCACAGTCCGGTGACATATCCATTTGACCACAAAACCTCTACATGATGAATTTCGTTTAGAGTTTTAAACCCCATCTGTACTAGTTTACAGGAGGAATTAGACCACCCTGCAAGGTCACTGGACAGGTGGTTATCTCATCAAATCAGCTCTCAGTTAACATAAGAAAAAGTGGATCATGGGGGACCAATGGTCACCGATAAGGCATTGTTTGCTATATAGAGGGAGCAAGTAGCTACAAGTAGTACAGTGGAGCTTTAAGAATAAAATTAAAATACAGATACTTATCATACTTCCAATGATTACAAGTTCAAGTCCACTTTGACATGGCATGACTAAACATCCGCTAGAGTAGTTGAGTTGCTCTGTCATGTAACATTATGCTGATATTATCTATGTAGAGGAAGTGAAGGATAGATGACTATTTGATATTCCTAAATGAACAAGAGATTATTTTGGGGAATCAATATTTCCTTCAAACTTGTATTGATGGGTGCTTCCACTTTTGTTTTGTTTCAGTTCAGAAGCATCCGTGAAATTTGTTTTGATTTGAGGTGCATGCTACATGAAATGACACTAGGTCTGTTTTCATCAGCCTGAGTTAGCCAAATAGCCCGCTATTTTGGGATCCGGAATTAGGCCAAAGTTACAAATCAGGTCTTCATCCGAGAAATTAGCGCGAGAAATTAGCGCGGTGTTCGCACATGTGTAGTGCGCTAGCGAGTTTTGTTGAAAGATTCTGGTGTATCTCTTTAGTCCTCGTTGCTGTACTTGCAACAGCCTTGAAAATTGTATCTTCCCTCCAAAACTTTATTAAAATACTGACCTGCCCTTTACACTATCTAGTGAGACATAATACTAGAAAATATACATGTACCACTAACACGTACCACTTGAAATAATCAAACAGAATCTGGAATAACAAAGAATTAACTGGTATATCTTTGATAGAAAGATAAATAATTTACCATGACTAATTTAAACTCCACACGCAGCAATTGTAAACGAGTAACAGCAGTGAATACATGCACATTTTCTAGCTAACCGCTGATTGCTTGTGAAACGTTTGTGCATAGTGCCGGAAACCGGAAACAGTAGGATATCGTCGTGCATGCCGGGATCAAGATATATTTCAGAGTCTTTGGGCTAGTGAAGAAGGACCACAAATACCGGGCTATTTTGCAAACTAGCCCAAGATAACTAGGGAAGATTTTCTGAGCTAATAGCCCGCTATTTGCATCTTCACCTGCCAAATAGCCCGCTATTTTGTGATTGGGCTAATTTCTCGGATCAGAAATAGCAGCTATTTGGCAATGCAACTTGGGCTGATGAAGACAGGCCTATCATGTACCATTTATTCCTCAAAAGCTTTTAGCGCCTAAAGGCAGCTACCGGTAGGCTAAATCCAGGGTAATAACACTACTTTGTAGGAACCTTGAGCATGAAATGTATAAAGTGTCCTATTCAAATTATGCAAGGAAACTCGTTTCTCAGACGCTATTGAGTGAGTAACTGACTTCTGAGATGCATGGCCCTACATGCACGTGTTATCAGTGTCTGTGTTATGGTGTAATATTGAAGCCCTAAAAAATGATCATGAAGTGCCTCAAAAAATTAAAAATATTTTAGTGACCGGTTAATACCTTACTCATTTACCCCAATATACTGTAGTGTTATAAAAAAAACCTCTTGATAACCAGACAGGCGATCGCCTTGTAAAAGTCATGGGATTCCTGACTGACCTAAAGGTTTATAACCATGATTGCAGCATGAGCTAAATCCAGGATTTTGTTTACGAATCTGAGGCAATGTTACCAAGTCACTTTAATGTAGAGAAATCATATTGCTTTCAATGTACTGAATAAGATTAACACACTTCACTGTATGTAATGTATATTGCAACTGGTATTGTCTGGAATTTGCGACACAGAACCAAGCAACTTTGTGTATATAGATGATTGTGAAGTAACCATGCATATAGATTTATTCTGATACATGAACTCAGCACTTTTTAAAATTATTATATCAAAATGGAAATGTATAGATCCTCACTGATAAAAAACATGTACGTGTACATAAAAATGTGCAGTGTTTGTCAAGGTAATTTAATCCCAATTTGTTTTCTGGTCGAAGAGTGGCAAATCATATACATGTACATGTATGGTTCGTTGATTATCCATCATTTTTACCGTTGCACAGTTCATCAAGTCTTTGTATATGTGCATGTGCGTGCCAGCTAGAGGTCGGTTAGATGCACAAACATAATAGTTCAGTTCATTGCTGTCTAATTTTACACCGATTGCATTGACATACAGTCATGTACATTGTAAGTGTGCATTGTTGCTTTGCTAATACGACCTTTCAAAATGCATGCTGTTAATTAGCAAAGAAATGCACAGAAAACTTGATATTGAATTAAATAGGACACAGCAGACATTGTATGAAGGGGCCCTTGATAAATTAAAATTTTGATTAAGAATTAAAGGTACTATGGCCCATTTGCAGGCTGAAAAAATTAAAAGGTTTAATTCCAACGGCATTTGAAAGAATACTACCAGTGATTTTGAACTAATTATTGATTGCAGCATGAGCTACCGGTAAATTCAGGATTTTGTTTCAGAATCTGAGACAAAGTTACCGAATCCCCTTAAAGGGAGCTGGTTGTCAGTTTCCATGTGCAGTAGGTAATAATTCACTGACACCTGACTTGCTGGAATTAACCATTAATGGGTGTACAAGTTGGGCACACAAGAAATAGCCCTTATACTATTTTCACACTGGTTTTGCTTAACCCCTTACTTTGCTTAGCCCCGTACTATCCTTAACCCCGGACTATTTTGGGGGGGTTTTCACACACGCTGTTTTTAGTCCCGTATTAGCGCCTATTCCGGAATAAGAAAAGCCATGCTATTCTCACTGCAATTCGTTAACTCCGGATATCGTGAATGTTGTGATTGGACATACTTCGCATCTGGCCAGCTGCATGCGATACGCTCCATTGCGTAGTACCGGACTATTTTTCGTTTCTGTTCTCATTCATTTGCTCGGCACCGCAATTGCGGGGTTAGCAGGAGTTAGAACCACAATTGCAGAGTTAGCCCTGCTATTTTGCAGGGTTAGTTAACCCCATACTATAGGTGGGGTTAGCCAACTTTAGCCCACTTTGGTAAAAGCCAGTCCGAACACAAAGTGGAATAGGCTTAACCCCGTACTATAGGTGGGGCTAAGACCCCCCCCCCCTTAATCCCACCTAGAGTACGGGGTTAAGCAAAATATTGCCAGTGTGAAAACAGTATCATTAGTCTCTGAGTCGATCTTCAGGTGAGGGAAATGCAAGATAATAAAATTTTCC